AGGTGAGGGGAACCGGGGGGGATTCGCCTGGGGCGAGCCGGAGCCATCCCCTGGGGGTCTCGGACGAGGAAGCCAGGCGGGGCGGGCCGAGGCCATGCTGTCGTTCTCTGAGTGCGGTTCCACTTTATAGGTAGTAATTAAAAAAATTTGGTAATCTTTGTGTCAATAAATAAAGTGCTATGGGCAGGCATTTGGGACGTCCCATTGCAGGGAATTTCCCTAGAGCCAGCTAGAGAGTCCAGGGCCACTGGGCACTGAGGCACAATGCCAGGAGTCCTCGGGAACGATGGTAGGGGCAGAAACGGAGGAAGATAATCCTTTTTTCTTTCCTTTTTTTTTTTTTTTCTCCTGTTTTAGCTACTGAAACAAAAGGCAAATTACTCCAATGAGTCTCTCCCTACATGTCAAACATACACCAAAAAGAAGCATCCACTGAAAGTGGGAAATAACCAAGAAGTCCCAGCTATCAATGGGAACGGGAATGTGGTAAAGGCCAAATCCACAAATAAAATGGACAACGGTTCTGCTAAAGACAATCCTCCTTTGGCTAAGCCAAAATCCAAGAGGGTTGCAATAGATAAGAATTTAAATGGCAACAAAAACAATGGAAAAGGCTGCAAAGAAAAAAAGAAAAATGGCAATATTTTAAAGGAGAAAGGTGATATAAAACATAAGAGAAGGAAAGCTGAAGAACACGCCGAGCAGCAACCCAAAGAGTGAGTACTTCAGGCATCATGCATGTATGTGAATATTTATTTTGGGAGGTGTACATAAGAAGCATAGAGCAGTACATTCAAAAGAGCTGCATTCTTCCAGACTAAATTTTGGGAGAAATAAGAAGCATGCTGCCCCTACTCCTAAGAAATAGCAATGAACCTGCATAGGTGACAGTACTAGACTGATCTTCACAAAGCTAATTTCTCGGTTTAAGAAATAAATACACTTTTTCCACACTATAAAGATGCATAACTGCTTTAGGACTGTTAAATGTAATTAAATCTGTACTTACCAGGGCTGAAATCTGGTTTGATGATGTTGATCCGAAAGATATTGAAGCAGCAATAGGACCTGAAGCAGCAAAAATTGCTAGAAGAAATCTGGGACTTGAAACAGGCCAATCCAAACAGTCTGTGGAGCAGGTGCTGGTTAAAGAAAAGGCTTCTGAAGGGTGAGTGGCATTCCAGAGGGAAGGATGGCAGCAGAGGCATCGAGATTATCTTCTAATAACTGTGATTTGCAGGTGCACAGCGTAAGCTGACATCTCCCTGCATCTGCTGACAGACAAACTGCCAAGTTTTCCCCGTTCGTATCAACGTGTGAACCTTGTGAACTCCACTATGTGGTCCCTGTAACAGAGGTGTCACCAAGCTGTCCTTTGTCTTTTAGGCTGACACGAGCTGTAGCCATAGACTGTGAGATGGTGGGAGTGGGACCCAAAGGTGAAGACAGTATTGTGGCTCGTGTGTCCATCGTGAACCAATTTGGAAAGTGCATTTATGACAAGTATGTCAAGCCTACAGAAGAGGTGACTGATTACAGAACAGCTGTTAGTGGCATACGCCCTGAGAATATAAATACAGGTAGGAAATTTTTTGCCCAAAATGTTCCTTAGGGAGGGAAAATTTAACAGGCTATCACAGAAGCCTCATTGGCTGAGCTTGTAAAAGTTTTAGATCTATTTTGGGAAATGGAAAACAAGATATATTCTGAATGCTAAGAAAAAATGTGGTAAGTAGCACTTTTTAGAGAGTGGTCACTAATGCCCTAGAAGAACTTAACTCATGGATTATGGTATGGGAATAATAGGAAGTTTATTTCCTTTTAGTGCTATGCTCTTTATGGAATTCTTTATGCTCTAACAAGCAGAGAATTTAGTGTACTGTACAAATTTGTGTAACTACAGTCCCAAGGATACAGTTGCTTTCAGAGAAAAGATGCAGTGTTTTAATTGTAGCTTGCTTAGTTGTCTTATGCATCTAACGGAAAGTTTCCTTGTGTGTATTTGTAGGTGAAGATTTTAAAACAGTTCAGAAGGAAGTCGCTGACATCCTGAATGGAAGGATTTTAGTTGGACATGCTTTACGCAATGATCTAAAGGTAGATGGCTGCACGTTTGTTATTTTGAGGACAAGGCTTCAAAAATTTAAGATTAAGTTTCCAGTACATCATTCTGGATCAGATGAACACACCTGAACTCCTAGAAACTACAGCTTTATCACTGTTAACTCAGTTTCTTTCATGCTGCCCCAATTATAGCCCTACTCACTTGGCCACTAAAGTTTTTCAGCTTCCAAACTCTGTTGCTAATAGCACTGATCTGCCTACTAAAGAGCCAGGAAAGAAATAGAATGATGAAAAAACTGTTTGCATGCTTTTCTTAGTCCCTGAAGCTCAGCAGCCATCAATACCAGAGATGGGTATCTTATGTCATGCTGTACCAGCACTGCAGGTAGTCTCTACAGGTGGTGCCTCCAGATTCATTTCTGTTTCTCATACTATGTAGAACTGTGGTTCTTAAATCCAGCCAGTGTCTGGATGATCTTGACCTTGTCCATTCATGGTTTTGAACTATCTCTTATGGAAGGAACCAGCAGGAAGCTGTACATTCAGCTGTATAAAGTTTCATGCAACAGCACACTTTGGACTGGAAATGTAATTTCTTCCAGGTCCTATTTCTCGATCATCCTCAGAAGAAGATACGTGACACACAAAGATACAAACCTTTCAGACAGAGAGTCAAGGTAAGAAACTGACAGGAAGCTGTACAGCAATTAACTGACTCTTGAGCTGCTGAATCCCCAGCTGCTAGCTCACTCCCACACTTGCCTCTACCTGACCCTGTTCCTTCTTTCCTACCTGAAACGGAGACGCCTGCTTTTCGTCATTTGAAAATACTAGTCTAGTTGAATGCTTACTTAGCATTTGAAACATACCGATGTTAGTTCAGTACAAACATTACCAGTAATACCTGTGCACAAAATTCAGTGGCTCTCCCATTCACTGGCATGGCCTTCCTAATGCCTTTCTGTATAGCAAAATAAGATGGTAGAGTTCTACTTGCAGTAACGCTTACATGATCTTCTTAATGGTATCATTTCTATAGGGATATAAAAAAAATAGATGGCTTCAAGTTTCTGCTTAGACTGCAGGAGTAAAGGTTCAGATTATAGCAAGATATTTTAAGTTTCATAACGATGTACTCAGGTTTTCTTTTTCACAACAAAGCACCCCAAACATAAATCCTAGGGTTACAGTAATACACATAAAATCCTCTCAGCAGTGCATGCATAAATCTTGTAATTCATTAATTATTCTTGACAATTCACCAGTAGAAGCTGAGATGTGCTATACTTTGAGGAATACACTTAGACTAATATTTTTATATATATACACACACATACCTTTTTTTTCCGAGTAGTGCAAGACAACGTGATTCTATCTTTTCTGTTTCTAGAATGCACGGCCATCACTGAAACTGCTCTGTGAGAGACTGCTAAATGTTCAAGTGCAGACATCAGAGCACTGCTCGGTATGTATCTCATCAGAACATACATTTTTGGGTAGATCAGCAAGGTACTACACATTAGCTCTAAGATCTGGGTTCAGTCCAGAATACTGTGGCTTCATTCTAGCCTCTCAATGAAAGTTAGCAAGCTCTGCTTGGACACCAGCATGCAGTAAGATCTTCATCTAAGCTCGCTTACCACTATGTGCCTCATACCACTTGGATTATTTCCTTATTTTCATAAACTTCTTTTGCAGAAGTCAACTATTTTGTTTAAATACTAATTCTTGTTACTTTAAAATCCCCAGGGGAAAAAATAATTCTCAGGTATTGACTGCTTACCTTAAAAGCAGCATTCTACACCGTTGTACTATGTTGGGTTGGATAAAATAGTGTGAGCGCCTACTAGTGAATCTCAGCAGTTTCGTTTCTTTCAGTGGACAGGAGGATATAATAGAGGAATGAACTGAAGAAGCAGAGCAAATTGTGAGGGTATCTCCAAGATACTGTACCAGGTGTATTTTTCATTATGGCTTTCCAAGTCATGATCAGAAAGAGGACTGCATAGCCTTGTGGTGGGCCATACATTCTGGATACATACTCATCCCCTTCTACTAGTCACAGAACCTAAATCTAGAAAGAAATTATGAAATGTTAATTGAAAGGATGTATTAAAACAATGGCAGATTTAGCTGCTTATTAACAATAATGTTCTTAAACCATGTCAGCTGTGTTTTATTAAGCTTGTTTGTTTTATTTTATTAAGTTTGTTCTGTTCTCTTTCAGATTCAGGATGCACAAGCAGCTATGAGACTGTACACCTTAGAGAAAAAGAAATGGGAAGCTGCTGTTAAGAACAAATCTAACAACAAAAATTGTAAAACTTGAGTGATTCTACCCTGTGCTTGTATCTGCAGCATTTGCTGGTTTCATGTCACATTCCAGGGCAAATTTAGAGATAACCGAGAACTGACAGCAGCTACTTCATAAAATCAAAAGACAATACTTCCTAAGCTTGTACGCGAATGCTGCCGTACAACAATACTGCTGGCATCCCCTTTCCGGGTGGTACCTCTGTCTAATGCCTACTACTGTGTTTAAACAATACTGGTAACAAATGCCTGCATTGGTGAAGTACTTCATCAGTTAGATTTCTGCAAAGGAAATATACACTGAACAAGTTAAAATAAAGAGTGTTTTAAAATTATAATAGATGAAGGAAGAAACTGTTATTGCTTTGCTGAAACTCCCAAGACTAAAATCTTTATTTCAAATATTTTAAAGTCTACAAAGTAAGGTGACTTCTTAATGATTACTGTTAGTCTCACAGTTGTGGTACCTAAATCAACAGAATATATAAGTGTTTATATATTATTAATAGCCCTATATTAATCTTTCTGGTGAGAAAATTCTTTTGAAATACTTCTGGAGGATCCAGGCTTTTATATCTGAACCGAAGTGTACACGTCTTGTTCTTACACAAAAAGTTTGTCTTCTACTTCCGCAGTTTCAAAAGTGTTGCATCCACAAGGGTCATTATCTCCTGGAGAGAAATGTGAGAATTGTCAAATACAAGATTACCTTGTTGCTTCACTTATTTTTATATTCATTTGTTAATAAAAACATTGTGTCTAACATAGGTCTTTAAAGTGGCTGGTGTTTGAAACATATGTGGGGTCTGATTCTGCAAAATCCAAAGCAGCTGCAGTTACCAGGCTGAATACTAATGCTATGATTTAAATAACCTAAATGGATACTGGAAGGTAAGAAGGAGTGGGTTTTGGAGACCTAGCAGTTGCATGTTACGCACTGTATTGCCAGAACGAGAGTGTTCTGGCCTTGTCTGTCCGTGCTGTCAGCCAGCAGAGGACACAAGGAACTACGAGTTAGGTTTACAACAGAAGAGGGAGCTTTCTTCTCTTTTGTGATTATTTTTTTCTGTACTACCTTATAGCTGCAGTGTTCATTAAAATGGTGCAGGCAATGCCTGCCGGAGACACTGGAGAACAAGTTTGTGTGTAACTGTCTTAAATTATGTAAGCAGGCTAAATGTGTAGCTAAAAAGAGCGAAGACTAACCAGTTTTATTGGCTTGAACAAACTTCTAATTACTGGTTTCTTGATAGCAAGCCATTGCAAAGGAAGTAGTAGTGTAACACATTAAATCACTTTAATAACTTTGCTGTTTCTGATGTTAGAACAGTTACCTTTTTTCAGTATGACTACTTGTTGAAATTTAATCTTCTAAATTTAAATCTTCAGGCAAACTGTTAGAAGGGTTTGTTTTGTTGTTTTCTGGGTTTTGTTTTTTTTGAGGATGCTACTTGCAAAACAAAAATAATTGAATGTAATGTACTTATGTTTTATTCCTGCAAAGTTTAGCCTCTTTTAGTATGAACAATGTAGTAAATTAATGCTATGCGATGTTGCAAGAGACCAGAACATAGTTTTAAAAAATTACAGCAAACACAACAAAAACAATCCAACTGCTTGTTTTCAGTAGTTAGAAATATCCTTACACACTCACTCTTCACCCCATATACACCTAATTCTGTAAATTTCTGCACTATGTAATTCTAGCTATTTGAAAATTATAAAATCCATGACCAGAAATAATATACTAAGCATCACTCTTTATTATCACAGTGACTTCTACATACCATCCTAGATGTAAACCTGCTTTTTATTTCAAACAACAGTTCTTCCATTTTCTGGGACAGCATATCTAGCACAACATCATCTGTAATGTAAACGAACAGGATAATTTATGGTTACTAGCACAACTGCCAATGGT